TTAAGAATTGGGTACTTTTTTTAATTTTTTTTTTTTTTTTTTTTTTTTCAGATGGGGAACCTGAGGCTTGGAAAGGTGAAATAACCCATCAAGGTCACCAAGCTGGTAAGTGGCAAAGCCAGAACCGGGCTCCAGCCTCTTTATATGTTTCTTCCCTAGAGAGTAGGTGTAGGCTCTGGTAGGCCTCAGCTCCTACTCAACTTGAACCATCCCCAGGGCTACTATAGGACCAGAGCTGATGCCAAACATGCCAGCCCCAAGCAGCCCAGGGAAGATGCATGAGCTTGACAGTAGTCTGTGGAGAAGGATAAGGCGGTACCTCACTGGGTAGAGGCCAGGCCTGAACCTGCCCCTTGCTCAGAGTGCAGGACCTAGGTACAATCATAAATGTGTGGGGATGGGAACCAGTAGCCCAAATCCTAAACCTCTGTGACTAAGTCTTCCTGGTATGTGTGTATGTGTGTGTGTGTGCATGTGTGTGTGTGTTGGGAGATAACCAAACTGATGTGCTGAAATGAGATTATCAAACATAGATTAGTAGACAGAGATGTCCTGGATATATGGCAGGTGTCTCACTGCACAAAGCTGCGTGGCCAAGAGGCACCGATAAGATAAAATGCAGCCTTGTTCTCCAGCTGCCAGCTCCTAATAGGAAGCTGCATCTGACCAGAGAAAAGAGTGCTTTTTGTCTGCTTTGTACAAAGGTGACTTATGAGCTAGCCATCACCAGGTGCCTTGACACAGCAATATATACATATATAGATACACTGGGGTTTGGGTAAGGCTCCTGCCAGCAGAAACAGCTGGGCTGTTCTTACTCATACCTGCTGATCACAGGGGACCTGCTAGGTAGGACCCTACCAGTGTGTCCATATCCAGTACATATATAGTAGGAACAGGGCTGACAGGTTTGTGCAGATACCTGCTCAGTGATAGAAGCATTTGCATACTTCCTAAGACCCTAAACAATGCTCTCTCTGCTTACACACTATAGCCAGGATGCACGCCTCAGAGGCTCTGGTCCAGAATTGGGTGTGTATTAGACTCCAATGGGCCTCACCCCATCTCCATTTGCTACATGTTTTCCTCTAGCCAGGGCCACAACAGCCATCTTCCTGCAGGCAACTTCCTGCCAGCCCCTCGCTTTAGCTCTTCTTTTGGCCTAGCTTACCCAGAGGACCCTGGCCAATACTCACATACAGTCTGGACATGCAAATGAGTAACACCCAGGGAGGTGTCCCTTGACCAATGGAGAGCAGGAGCCCGTAGATAAATGCCTCTGTCCTCTCTCTCATCCAAGAGATAAATGGTCCCTCAGTGGACAATTTAGAGTAGTGTTCTACATGGCTCCTTGGAATGTTTTAGCAGATCTGAACCCCAGTTGTCCATTGAAATGACCAGTCAGTCAAAGATGCAATCCTATGTTGGGTTTCTCTGTTTGATTCTCCCTTTTCAGTCACCTGCTTCTGGGATCTTTCCAGAATAAAGCACCCGCCTACAAGCCCTTGCCTTGGGTTTGGCTTTCTGGAGGGACCCAGAGTGGACAGGAGGGAAGGGAGAGCTTATATTCCCCACTGCTGTTTGGGCGGTCAGTGTAACAGCAGTGGCGCTCACACAGAGCCTTTTCCTATGTGTCAGGCACAGGGCAAAGCCTTTGATTTACCCCATTTCGTATTTTCCTCCCAAAGCCCTAGGCAGTACAGACCCTGTCACCTCCATTTTTCAGACACTGAGGCTCAGAGAGGTCAAGTAACCTGGCCAACACTGCGCAGTGGCAGAGCATAGGTTAAACACAGCTCTGGCTTAACCATGATCTTAACCATTTCCTTCTGCCACCAGGTAAGCACCAAGCTGGCACCATGGTGGGCCTGAGAGGCTGCAGCCTGACAGGAGTTGCTCTGATCTTCCTGCTACTCCCTGAAAGTAAGTGTGTAGGGGAGGGAGTTAAAGGAGAAACACTGGGCATGGAGGACAGGACCCTTTCCCTGCATGGCCACACAGAATCCCAAGGAGCTCAAGACTGAGCCCCAGGTGAGGCAACTGGTCCCACCCACAGACCCCATCCACCAAGAAGAACAGTAACAGGATCGTGGCTGGTAAGCTTGGAAAAGGCAGGTACACCCAAGCCTTGCCCACAAATCTCTACCATCCTGCCAGAAGGAACTTCTAGGGCCTATGAAGCTTTTGTGGGCAGCAAAGGGACCCAGTAGAAGCCACAGGGAGAGGTTTGATCCTGAAGAAGGGAGCCCAAGCAGTGTTCCAACCACAGAACTGCCTTAAGAGGTGCATCCCTGGGAGTATGCAAGTTGAGGCCGGGATTGACAGGGCTGGCAAAGTTTGACAGCAATACTAAGGCTTTTCAGGCCACATATGCCCTTTGTTCTGGTTGTTGTTGTTCATTTGTTTATATATATAGTGGTTTCTTTTTTCTTTTGTTCTTTGAGACAGGGTCTCCCTGTAGCCCCCAGCTGACCTGGAACTCACTATGTAGACCAGGCTAGCTACCTGCCTCTGCATCTTGAGTGCTGGGATTAAAGGCACAGGACACACACACACACACACACACACACACACACACACACACACTTGTTTTCTAGGTTTTTGTTTGTTTTGGTGTTTTGACTGCTTTTATTCTTATTTAGGTTTTATTTGTTTTTATCTCTTTAAAAATGTAAAAAGCATCTTTACTAGCAAGACATTAAAAAAAACAGGTCACCCAGCCCTGGGGAAGAAGAGACAGCCTCAGGTGGCGTTTTGAAGGAAACAGCTTTGGGACATTCCTTCCAGTCTGAAATTCTGAATTTGCGGTATAGTAAGAGAGTTTGTTGACAGGCATGAATCCAGATGTGGCAACCCAGGCCTGTAATCCCAGTATTTAGGAGGTGGTGGCTGGAGGATGGTGAATTCAAGACCATCCTCAGTTACATAAGGAGTTGAAGATAGCCTGGACTACATGAGACCCTGTCTCAAAAAAAGAAAGTATGAAATTGGTCTTTTACCCCCCAGCACCATCCTGCCCTCTTCTCTTAGGGTTTCTGAGAGGAAAGAAGCCTTGTTGACCAAATGCATGTTTACTCATTCATTCAAGAAATAGTCCCCAAACTCCCTGTGTGCCAGGCACTTGGAACTGTAGCAATGAGTAAGCAACCAGGGCCTCTGCCTCACAGAACTTAGAGAGTGCAACTAGTGAAGGAGTCAATTAAGAGGGGGGAGTAAAGGATTTAGGGAAGGGCAGGGCTTCACCTGGCCTGGTCCTTCAGAGTATAGTCCAGTTCACCAAGATGTCTATATGCTAACCAGGAAGGGGGATCACCTTGAAGGGAGAACAGCAGGTGCAAAAGTTCGCAGACAGAGGGTTGGAGTTTCTGCAGGAGCAGACCCAATACCTACAAGCAGAGCTGGAGCAAAGGGGGATGGAGCCAGGGCCAGGTCACAAGGCTATATGAAGGATCTGGCACTTTATCCTAATCAAGGCTGCAAATACTAACCCACCTGGCATAGTTCTTTCTGTATGCCTTAATTGTGTTATCACAGCTAATTCTTCCAACACAAAGGTAGTGTTTGATTTTTGTTTTTGCTTTGGGGGGTTGGGGGGAGGGGGATAGAGTTGGGGTTTGTTTTTTGTTTTGTTTGGGTCTTTTTGAGACAGGATCTCCCTGTAGCCCCAGCTGTCCCAGAGCTCACTACGTAGCTGGAACTCGCTATGTAGACCAGGCTGGCTTTGAACTCACAAAGATCCCCCTGTCTCAGCTTCCCAAGTGCTGGGATTAAAGGTATATGGTATCACGCCTGGCTAAAGGTAGTGTTTGAAAAGGAAAGAAGATAAACCTGGAATGCTGGGTCACCATAGGCTGAGGTGTATTTCAGGTAACTGGGTCCTTTAATTAAACTCCCGAGTGCTAGAATATGGTGGAGATCCAACAGCAGCCCACAGAGCAAAGGAAGTTCCTTACATTTATAGTCTTTAGAGGGGCAGGGTCTCTGAGTTTAGTAGGTCAGTGAAGGAACTAAATAGGATACAAAGGTTTAAATTAGGAAGCTAACCCTATTGTCCTACCTGTTACAAGCTAGGAGCTTAGCAACTTGGAGAAGGTACTAGATAGGATATAAGGCATGCCTCTCTACTAGGGCAGCTCTATGATCTGATAGGGATGATTTCATCTCCATTTTACAGATGAAAAAGCAACATGCAGAAAGGGCCAGTAACAAGTAGCAAGGTCACTAATTAGTAAGTAGGAGATGCAGCCTAGATACCCATCACACCATCCTGCCTTTGTAGCAATCACATGTCTTTGAAGCGTTGTGATCAAAATGGACTCACAGGATTAGATATGAATTTTGCAAAGACTCCTGTGACTGCGGCTTCTTATCACTCTGACTGTGGCTTTCACCAGCCACAAGTCCCTCTCTATTAGGGAACTGGAGCTGGCTTACAAGAACAGATGACACTCATCTCTTCCCAGCTCTACTCAAGGAGGGCACACTGGGAAGCTCAAAGTTGGTCAGGAGGGAAGTGTTCACACCCTGGGGAGTATTTGCACCAAGTATTCACACCACAAAGACTGTTCACACTATGAGGAGCATTTGCACTACAGAAAAGTGTCCACACCATAGGAAGGTTCACACAATGGAAAGTGACACAAACACAAATGAGGGGCTGCTTTTCTCTGAAGAACCAACTGATAACCACGCCCAAGTGCTGGGATTAAAGGCATGCACCACCATGTTTTGTTTTTTGGTTTTTTTAGAGACAGGGTCTCCTTGTAGCCCCAGCTGGCCTGGATCTCGGAGATCTGCCTGCCTCTGCCTCCTGAGTGCTGGGATTAAAGGCATATACCATCACACATGGCTAATTTACCAATATATTTACCAGCAGTCTCTATCTCCCCTAAAGAACATCTTGTAGTCCCCACACCCACACTTCTGTTCTAGCCCCCAGGTCTTGATAGATGAGGCAGATAGAGAGGGCTCTGAGTCTAGGAGTCTAAAGGTCTTGACACTGCCCAACTTGGCCAGGCAGAGGAGTCCTCCAGGGCCCACTTTCTTCCATTCCAGGCCTGGAGAGCTGTGGGCACATCAGGATCTCAGCCCCTGTTGTTCATCTGGGGGACCCCATCACAGCCTCCTGCTCCATTAGCCCAAACTGCAGCCACTTGAACCAAGAGCCACAGATCCTATGGCAACTGGAAGATGGGCCAAAGCAGCTTGGAGACAGGCAGCAACGCCTGCCTCAGGGGATCCAAGAATCCACCATCACCCTGCCCCACCTCAACCACACCCAGGCCTTTCTCTTCTGCTTTGTACAACTGGGCAACAGCTTCCAAGTTCTGGACCAAGCTGAGCTTCAGGCAGGCTGTAAGTCCCTCTAGCTGTCTATACACCCTGTCCCAGTGACCTGCTGAAACCACAGACAGCAATGACCTACAGGACCTTTGCTCAAATAGGGAATGGACCTTGCCAGCAGGTGTTACCACTTCACCCATTCTGCAGATGAGGAAATTGACATTTAGGGAGGGCAAGCGACTCACTGAAGGACATACTCCAGTGCCTCATAGAACTGCTCATGTGCCTGGCCACTGAGCAAGTTCAGGTCCTCAGCCCCAGAAAGTGCTTGCTCCCAGCTCCTTCCCAGCTGGGAAAGAAAGCTCTGTCCCAGCTTTCTTTTCAAATTGAGCTTGATGGCCAAGTGTGGTGGCATACATACGCCTTTAATCTCAGTACTCAGGAGGCAGACACAGGCGGATATCTGTGAGATAAAGGCCAACTTATTCAACATAATGGGTTCCAGGTCAGCTGGGGCTACACTAAGACCCTATATCAAAAATAAAGGGGGCTGGAGAAATGCCTCAGCAGTTAAGAGCACTGACTGCTCTTGAAGAAGATCGGGTTTGATGTAGACCAGGCTGGCCTTGAACTCACAGAGATCTGCCTGCCTCTGCCTCCCAAGTGCTGGGATTAAAGGCGTGCGCCACCACACCCAGCCAAAAATATGTTTTTAAAAAAGCAGTGACAGGGCTGATGATATAGCTCAGTGGTAGGATGTTTGCTTAACATGATCAAAGCCCTGGGCTCCATCCTTAACACCACACCAGTCAATATTAAAGCCACACATGGTGACACACTCCTATGATCCTTGTTTTTAGAAACTGGGGTAAGAGGATGGTAAAGTCAAGGCCAGCCTGGGCTACAGAGTGAGACCTGTCTACATAAAAAGAAAGTAAATCAGTGACACATTAGCTACCACCTGAGTGTACAAGTGGTATAAGGATAGGAAGTCATTTAGCTCTCATAGAAACTTTGGTTGCTGGGGGACCTGGGCTGCCCCTCTACCTGCCTGTAATGTGATTGTCTCCAGGGCTGCCCTTCCAGGGCCACACTGCAGAAGGACTAGCCCAGCCCAAGGAAGCAAGATCACAGGTACCCCCACCTCCAGGCTCCTAACATTCTTCCTACCCTCCCCAGACCCTCCTGCCAAACCCTCCAACCTGTCCTGCCTCATGAACCTTACCACCAGCAGCCTCATCTGTCAGTGGGAGCCAGGCCCTGAGACATACTTACCCACCAACTTCACCCTGAAGAGCTTCAGGTGAGTAGGACTCCTGCACTAGCCTTTTCTTCTGGGTCCTGGACTGAGGTACAAGTGACTATGGGGATAGGGAGCCAGACACAAAGACGGGAAACAGAAGGGAGCCTCGCCTTCTTCCTCGGCTTGGCACCCAAGCCCAGCCTGTTGGTAGGAGTCGCGCCGACTGTCAGCGCTGGGAGGACCCTGTCTTGGACTGCGTGCCTGAGGATGGGCAGAGCTACTGCTCCATCCCCCGAAAACACCTGCTTCTGTACCAGAATATGGTCATCTGGGTGCAGGCAGAAAACGTGCTGGGGACCAGCGAGTCCTTGAGGCTGTGCCTTGACCCCATGGATGTTGGTGAGTGACACTGCTGGGAAGGGTAGAAGTCCCTACAATGGGCAGATCCAGTCACAGACAGGGAGATCCTGGAAGACCTAGAGAGAGGCAGAGAAGAGCAAAATGGGCCAGAGGATAGGAAACCTGTGCACTCTTTTAGCTTATTTCAGTCTTTTATTTATTTATTTATTTATTTATTTATTTATTTATTTGGGGAGTATACATCCTACTCTGTGTATTCCAGGCTGACTGGCTCCTGAGCTTCAGGGCAGCTCTCCTGTTTCTTCCTCCCAGTTTGCCACAATAGACCTGGGAGTACAGATGTATACTACTGCATTGGGCTTTTTTACATGGGTTCTGGGATCGCGAACTTGAACTTGGATTGTCAGGCTTATATGACTAGCTGTTTGACCCAAAGAGCCATCTCCTCAGCCCTCAGCTGATTTTGGGTTTTTTTGAGACAGGGTCTTCCTGTAGCCCTGGTTGGCCTGGAACTCATTATGTAGACCAGGCAGGACTTGATTTCACAAAGATCTGCCTGCCAAGATCTGCCTGCCTCTGCCTCCAGAGTACAGGATTAAAGGGGTGTCACCATACCCAGGAGGTCTCAGCTGATTTCTTAATGTGCCCACTGTGTGCTAGGCACTGTGGAGGGCCTGAAGATACAACAATGAATAAGTCTCAAAGTCTCACTCTCAGAATGTTATAACATTCTTGTTGACAAAATAAATAAAACAGAATATCAGATGATTTAAGAAGTTGAGGACTAAGTAGACCTTTGGAGGACCTGAGGGATCAAGCCACTGGATGTCTGGGAGGAGATTATTTAAGCACAAGTAACAGGTGCAAAGGCCCTGAGGCAAGTCTTTACCTGTTGAGAAAGATTTTACTCAAAGACAGCACCGAATATGGAGAGAGAGAGAAAGAGAGAGGCTTGACAAACCCACACCTTGCAGTGAAACTGGAGCCCCCCACACTGTGGGCCCTAGACTTCAGCCCTGATGTGGTCCCACCCCAGCCGGGCTGCCTGTGGCTGCGATGGGAGCCATGGAAGCCCAGTCAATTCATGGACCAGGAGTGTGAGCTTCGCTACCAGGCACAATTTAGTGGAACCAGCTGGACACAGGTAAGGCAGAGAGCAACCCAGAGACCCCAATGGGGAGAGGGGGTTGAGGGAGGACAAGTTGGACTCAAGAATCACCTCTATCACCACCACCAGGTGCCCCACCTGCCCTCCAGAGGGCATAGATTTGAGCTCTGTGGACTCCATCAGGCCCTGGTCTACACCCTGCAGATGCGGTGCATCCGTTCACTCCTGCCTGGACACTGGAGCAGCTGGAGCCCCAGCCTGCAGCTGAAGCCCAGCATTCAGGGTAAGAGGCTAGGAGTAGCCATCAGAGCCCTATCCATTCCCCATTGCCCTCCCCAGCAAAGCCTCTCCTCTCACCCTACCCACAGCCCCCATCGTCAGACTGGACACGTGGTGGCGGCAGAGACAACTGGATCCCAACACAGTAGGCGTGCAGCTGTTCTGGAAGGTGCCTCTCTGTGACCCCCTCCCACCTAGATAGTGCCCCAAAGTGGGGGCTTAAGACTGGAGCTGGCCTGGGAGGGTGGGAGGCAGCACACACTTTGCATGGGAGCTGAGTAGAGACCTTGGAGAGAGGCTACAGTGCAAGGCTCTGGGCTCACCTGTGCCCCAGACGGTCCCATCAGAGACTAGTTCAGCATCTTCCACATGTACTGACTGGCTTCTTCCTTCTCTTCCTCATGGATCTTGCCACAGAGGACCAGGGGGTAGATGGGGGTGGGGAAGGAAGGAGAGAAAGGAGTTCCCAGCCTGGGGCTCAGTTCCTATGGCCGGTCCATGCCCCTTAGGGACTCCCCAACTTGAAATGAGCTGGACAGTCCCCTCACCATGTACTTCCTCACCTGCCACAGCCGACACCCCTGCAAGAAGACAGTGGGAAGATCCAGGGGTACCTGCTCTCCTGGAGTCCCTCGGGACAGCAAGGGCTGGGCCTGCCCCTGTGCAACACCACAGAGCTCAGCTGTACCTTCCTCCTGCCTTCAGGAGCCCAGAGGCTGACCCTCATAGCCTACAACACAAGGGGTACCTCTTGGCCTACTCCAGTGGTCTTCTTGGAGAACAAAGGTAAACAGGGCTGGCAGTCAAACAGCAGAGACCAGCATGAGAATTCAAAGGCTGGGCTGCCTTGGTTCCTTCCAGTCTGATGCTACTACTAATGAATGAGCTGGCCAGGTGACTTCTCTCCCTGGCCCCTGGAACCTTCAAGTGAGGAGAGTAACAGTGTTCCCCTGGGGGCAGCTGAAGTTGGGTATATGGTTAGATTATAATTAGCCAGAACTGGATTAATCTGTGAGAACACACACACACACACACACATACACACAGCTAGGAGTCCCACTTGTAAGCTGTTGTATAACTTTGTGTGTGTGTGTGTGTGCTCGCGCGTGTGCACGCACATGCTTGTGCACATGTGTATATGCATGTAGAGGCCAGAGGACAACCTCAGGTGCCATTCCTCAGATGCAGGGTCTTCCACTGGTCTAGAACTCACTGCTTAATGCTAGGCTGGGTGGCCAGCAAGGTCCAGGGATCTGCCTGTCTCTACCTCCCCAGTGCTGGGATTATAAGTGCCTGGCTTTTTTTTTTTTCCATGTGAGTTCTGGGGATCAAATTCAAGATCTTTGTGCCTTTGTGCTTCCAATTCAAGCATTTTACCAATTGAGCTGTCTCCCCAGTCCTGGACCGTATGACCTTTGATAAACCAGCTAACCTCTCTGTAGCTCCCATTTTACTAATTGATAAAACAGAGATTGCTGTAGAACTTCTTTGTGTGACCATTAGAGGACTCAATGACTCACACATATCAAGCCAGGTGGTACCAGGAAGTATCCATGGGCCAGGCTCTGTGCTAGACTTATTCTGTGCACCCTTTGTTAACCTGCAAGCCTCTGGGAGATGAGGATTTTACTGTCACTTCTACTTTACAAATGAGGAAACTGAGGCACAAATGTTGCTGTACCATGGGTCACAGGCCTGTAAGTAGCAAAGGTGAGATTTGAACCCAGGCCCCTAACACCAAGGCCTGCATGCTTTTCATCTTCACTCCCTTGTTTCCTACTCTATCTCCAGGCCCAGCTGTGGCCAGACTCCACGCCATGGCTCAAGATCCTCACAGCCTCTGGGTGGACTGGGAAGCCCCCAGCCCTCAGCCGCAGGGCTATCTGATTGAATGGGGCCTGGAGTGCCCCAGCCACAACTGCAGCAATAAGTCCTGGAGGATGGAGCCTAATGGGAACAGCACTGGGACTCTGTTACAGGGTGAGGCAGGCCTCGGAGGAGGGGCAGGTGGGCAGGGCAGGAAACGGGAACAGAAGAGGCCTTGCTTATCTGGAGGTGGCAAGGTGCAGCTGGAACCTCGCTAGAGATGTGGACTCACAGCTTTTCCTGAGCTCTTACAGTGGGGAAAGTCCTTCCTACAGTCTATCCAGATCCTGTCTTTCAATAGCCCTCAGTCTGTCCCATTCTAGCTCTGTCTTCCACTTTTCCTCCCTGACCTCCATCAGATGAACTAAAGAGATTATCCCCATTAGACAAAATCAGGCCTGGCAGAAATGAGATTCAAAAGCTGATCATCAGTAGAGGTCAGCCCCAAACATAAGTGTTATTTCATCTTCTCTCTACAGAGAACATAAGCCCTTTTCAGCTGTACAAGATCACGGTGGCTCCCCTGTACCCAGGCACTATAGGACCTTACCAACATGTCTACGCCTACTCTGGAGAGAAAGGTTTGTCCATCATCAGCCTGTTATTCCCAGAATCCTCTTCTCTCTCCCAGTGATAGGGAATAGGAGGAAACATTCCCTTTACTTCTGGCCTCAGAAAGAGGTGCTTTCCATGCTGAAATTACCCCTGACTTACACTGAACCCCCATAGCTGGGTGGAATTCAGAAGGCAGGACATAGAAACTGGGCCATGAATATGAGAAAATCAGGTGAATAAGTCTCACAGAATCAATCCATGGCCCCAAAAGAACTCAAGTGTCACATCTGATAGAAACTGGACAGATGACCTAATATGATTCAGAGGGTGAGTGGCAGAAATCAGATATCAAATCAGACAAAATCATATGTGGCATAAATCAGAGAGCAAGGATTTGCAGCCAAACAGAACTGTAGGCCAGAGAAGGAATCTAGATGAAATCCTAGGAGATACTGGACAGTATGGTACATACCTGTGACCCCCAGCAACTCTACAGAGGGAAGATTGGGATTTCAGGGTCAACCTGGGCTATGTGATAAGACCTCATCTCAAACAGACAGAAGAAAATGAGAGATGAAGAACTTGGACAGATGTCCCCTTCCAAACAGAACTGTAGGCCAGAGAAGGAATCTAGATGAAATCCTAGGAGATACTGGACAGTATGGTACATACCTGTGACCCCCAGCAACTCTACAGAGGGAAGATTGGGATTTCAGGGTCAACCTGGGCTATGTGATAAGACCTCATCTCAAACAGACAGAAGAAAATGAGAGATGAAGAACTTGGACAGATGTCCCCTTGAAGAGGATTGTTGAGAGAGAGAGAGAGAGAGAGAGAGAGAGAGAGAGAGAGAGAGAGAGACA